TTCTTCTGTTGAATTCTGTTCGGTGAGAATTTACTTGTCATTTCGGTTTCTGCGCCCACCCGATCCGACAGAGCCGATTACTCGAGCAAGTGGCGACCGTACATGACGTAGACAGTGTTGAGAAACAAGTGCAACGACAGCCACGCGGGTGTGGATGAACTGACTCCAGATGTGGCGAGGTAGGCCTTGAAACATGAATGTTTCTTGATCAGTCGAATCTTTTCACTCCAAACTTCCCAGTCCGTGTCTACAGCTGGATAGCAACGGAAAAGGCATAAATCTTTGGTGATGTCAAGGCAGCCACAGAATGCATGTTGGTGGGAAATACGCACTCCAAGCTCAGAGGTTCCAATGTCAAAAGTTGTTTGTTCGTCTTCTCTCGGTGCGATGAGAGCAGACATGATGTTCGTTTTCTTACCTGGCGACTCAAATTCCCAGCTTCGATTGCGTTCACTGCTCTGAGTTTGACAGCATACTATATTTTTCTCAGTTTGACTCAATCCACAGTTTTCAGTACCATTGCATCCATTCCTTTCACGCAGATTCCACCCGTTTTCCACCTTTCGACTTTGTCCTATTTCTTCTGTTTCCTGTTTCTTGCTGTCCTCATTTTGCACCAGCTCGCTTTCCTGGTCTGAGAGTTGGAAATCGTCTGATAGAAGTGCATCATTACAGCCAACTACAGAGTCGTTAAGATTTCCGACCATAGCCGTCCACTCCTCGCGTAGCACCTCGGCCGTAGCAAACCCAAAAGCAAGCGCGAAGTTGGACACTTGGACGGGATGTAGTATTAGACCGGAAACTTCTTTGATAGAAAACATGGTGCCATGCACAGTGATGTTGCTTTTCCCATCTTCGTATCTCGTCAACTGTGGTCTAGGAGACTTGACCGTGACCCAGTCGTCGTAAAGGCCTGCCATACATTCTAGAAGATTTGCCAATCGCTGGTGCTCTTGTCTGCTCAGAGAGACTCTTCCCTTGTGTATCACGCCCAAGTGCAAAAACAGCTTGCGTCTGCAGACTCCGTCAGGATCCTTGATATGATCGTCACCGCACTCAGGGAACTCGCAGACAAGAGAGCCGTTGATGGTACAAACAGCACGGTCCCACGCCGCAATTATGAAGGAGCTCTTAACTTTAACACGATGGAATTCCAGATGATATTTGGTGAGTTTAAACGTAGAAGAAAACCGAGCAGACTGAAACTTTAAGCGTATGATATCGCTCTTCATTTGTGTAGCGTGAGGATTTCTGCTTTGATTACCCTCGATGCACTCCAGACAGTGTTCATTTTTGTACACCTTAACCGAGTCCCCTTTCCAGATCACTGGTAGAGAGAAACTGAGACATTTATCTCTGAGCTCTTCTGAAAAGAATGTTGAGTTTTCATTGCAGTCATTCCTTGCACCGTACTCACATACAGATAAAATATCAAGAACATTCGCGAGGTTATCTGGAGGCACAACAAAAGGGGGAGGTATTGTCCCTCCCCGCACCTCACCAGTGTGTGTCAAAAAAGGCTCTCTGACTCTTACTTGCCAGGGGCACGGAACTGAGTCGGTTCTCGCATGGCATATAAACACGCTGATGTTGAGGAAAACAAAGCCGGTTGCGCGGTCCGAGATATAGCGTTGTAACATTCCCTTCAGCAGTCCCGTTTCCAACTGGTTGTGTCTTGAGTTCTCGACATCCAGCATTTTTCCCGCATCTTCTATTTCGGTCATATACTTTTGAATTCCTTGGACAGAGTCCTGTGTTTCTGTCCAGCATGCTCGAGATTCTGGGTGGAGCAAGTCATAGTGTTCCCCTTTGGGCAAGATTTCGTACAGTCTGCGCTCCACAAAGGACAGGGCATTTTTCTTCTCTTGTCCGCTGTTTTCTCCCATTTGAGGTTGGGAGGATGGGCAACTAGAAATAACAAGCATATTATCTTCGGTGCATTTGACCTCTGTGGAAAACAAATGCCCATATTTCTGTCGAGATTCCTCTTCCACTTTCGGACACAGCTCCTGGAAATCTTGGCAGCAATTTCGATACACCATACATCTGACGTCACACGAACAGCCAATATGAAGCAAAAGGCCACACTTATCTCGGCATGACGCGAGGTCTTCTTCTACTTCCAGGTTTCTTTCTTGACGCTGACAACCTCCCTTATGTGAACTTATGCCCACAAGGAGCAGTATGACTGC